AAGCGTGACCAAGGAGAAGAAGGAAGAGAGGGCCATGAGCACAGATCCTGAGGACAGGCCAGTGTGGCGGCCGCTCTAGGACATGCATAACAAACTGAAAGCAGTCGTGCTTATCAAGGGAACCATCGAGGCTGCCTGGGTTGAAGAGTCTAATGGAGTCTGGCCAGAGAGTGATCCAGAATATTCCCACTTATTTTTTTTTTTAATCCTGAAAATACAAAAGTCAGTTCACATTTTACTTGGTTTTATTTGTGTTTTATTACAACCCTTGCTTTTTTATTCTCTGCCTGGCACTGTAACACCACAAAAGAATGTCTGTGAGTTTTGCCTTTAAATTCTTTTTAGCCATATGACATCAGGACTCAACAAAATACTAATTCATGTTCTGAAGTTTTTCATTCTGTGGGATGGAGGTGAGAATTCAGTACGTGAACTGTCATCAAAAGTCACACAGTGAACACTGAGGGACGCAGGGCATCACCATCGATAGGGGAGCCTAAGGAAGCAGTTTTTCTCCTACCGACGAATCACACATAACTGAACACCACCCTTAATTCTCTTCTCAACTCACAATCCTAATGGGAAGTCACCATCATGAGTGTGTGAGGTGGTGCACAAGTGGAACCGTGGGCCTCTTTACTCAGAGAACTGGGCACCCCCACGCTCTCCACCCCTGCCCGCCTCCACCACAGCCGCCTACACCCTGCCCTGTCAGCTCTAGGCTACTGCCGGTCTGAGCCACAGCCTCCTACAGCTCTGGATTGTCATAAGTCTTGTTTGGATGCAGAACAGCTTAGAAATCTGTTCTGTCCTGAGCCTTCACCACAGGGGACTCACCATCTTGTGAGAGTCAACATTGCTTATGGTTTTATTTATTTATTATGATCTTAAAATTAAAGTGACTTTTCCAAATGTTTGGGTTTACATGTCACGTAGATGGGTTTGTGAGTTGACGGTTTCCTGTGGTCCCATCCCCTTCTCAGCACCACCTCTGTGGTCATCTTCAGAGCCTCAAACTCCCCCATGGGAGGGGAGAAGACACACCATTGCCTGTTCAGCCCAGTGTTGAACGTGAACAGCACCAAAACAGATGCTGGCTACCGTGTGTCCTAACTGCTGGGGAACGGAAGGGCAATTCTGTTCCTGACATTTCAGGATGATCAGTTTTAGGCCCTCTCGTGGACTGGGGACAACTGGATTTTCTTCTAAATTCATGTGTGTCAAATACTATTTTCCTTCTCTCTCAATGCAAACAAATACTATCAGGAGTATAGAATGTCCATTTCAGCACAGGTGATACACAGTTTCCCAGACCAATGGCAGGTACTTACTACAGGCTGACCCCACAGGTCAGCCTTTAGTTTATTGATGATCTATTATGATCTTGTGATTTTATTTTTGATTTATTATGATCTTAAATTTAAAGTGACTTTTCCAAATGTCTGGGTTGACATGTCATGCAGATGGGTTTGTGAGTTGACGGTTTCCTGTGGTCCCATCCCCTTCTCAGCACCACCTCTGTGGTCAGAACTGGTGGCTCGGGCTGGAAGTCCTCCAAGGTGGTGGTGAAGGAGGCAGGGTGGGACCCAGAGTCCTGAAGGTGGTGCAGGGCTCCCGCTCTGAGGGAAGAAGAGTGATTCAGGCTGACTTTCAAAGGCTAGGCCAGCTGCGCATGCAGGACTGAGATCATCTCTCAAAGCTTCAGAGTCCTCCTCCCTTGGGACAGGGAGTTGCAGCTTTTTAAATGAGCACTGGGATAGGAACCTAGGAGAGCGTCACCCACTGGTGACACAAAAAGACACAGGAAGCCTAGACATATCCAGCTCTCCCGGTACAGGGTAAAATGCCAGTCAGTCGATTCTGAAATGCGTCAACGGCTCTAGCTCAAAGCCTCTGGAAAGGTCAGGTCATTCTTCATACACACATGGATTCACTGGTCCATCTGTCAAACTCATCTAACTCTATTCATGACAAAGTTGAGGACCTGTGCTCACGTCTGCTCGCTCCCTGAAGAAAGTAATTACATTTAACCAAAACAATGTATGATAGAAATGATTCCCTGGTCTCTGTCATTTATAGAAATAAGAAGAAAAATACACATGGTCTGGCATTGGAATGTACCTACTTTTTCAAAGAAGAAACAGATGTGGATCCAAATTAGGGTGTTTTACCTCCACTTACCAATGCCAGCTGCTCACTGGAAATAATAACAAGGTCTGAGAGTGACCAGGTCACACAAAGCACCAAGAAGACATGGGGACAGACACACAGTGCTGTTTCTAAAGAATCATTTGGATGGGGAAAAGGTAATCACCAAGTAGAGCAGTAGAGCTCAATCTTCACTGTAAGGGAATGGGGTGCTCACACCCTGGCAAGGTCAGCAAGGCTATGCCCACAAAGCCAGCACATCCACCTTATGGAGGGAAGCCATGGGCAGAGCCTGGGAGCCCAGGTATGGCAAACTTGAACCCCAAAAAGAGAGGCCTGGGCCTTGCTGTCTCCAGGAGGATATGGATGGAATGGAAGGAGGCAGAGAGTCAGGCTTCCTCCTTCGCCTGTGCAGTCCCATCTCAGATAAGCTCACACATACCCCAAAGCCTCAGTGTCCACCCACTCTAACCACATGGCAACATGTGCATTGATGACAGTGTTTAGTACTCTCTGCCAGGGGCCAGAGGCATGGGTATAAAACAACATGGACTGGAGAAGAACACTCATAATACGTGTTAATCGCCCCATGTGTAATCTCCACAATGGGCTAAACAGACATAATTACCTCTCCCCTTTTCACAGATAAGAAACTAAAGGTTAGGGAAGTCAAGCAACTCACCTAGAGATACCCAGCAAGACACTGGGCTGTCAATTCCATGCAAGTTTATGGACTGACACCACCTCCAAGGTTTGCTGAGGTAGGGTATGAATCTCCTGGAGAGGAGGACACTCTCTGAAGGCAGCCTCAGGACCCCAATGAATTTTCCAAAAACCAGAAGGTGATTTGAAAAGAGATCATCATCACAGAAAAATCCAGAACATCCAACATGTCCAGTGATCAGTTAATTTTCAATCTTGAGTACTCTGCAAAACCCAACTATTTCTTGATTTTCTTGATTAGGGGAGGGGGGTGAGAAGGAGATGCCAAGGATTTTATAGCTTTTAACTGTTTTCCTGGATAAGAGAGGTGCACGGCATTTTACACGCAACTGTGATTTTAAGAAAGTGTTCTTGGGAAGTAAATGGGATACTTCCTGCATGTGCAAGCTCAGCGCCTGCACAAGGACCCCACATGTAGTTGGCACCACTGCAACCCAGGAAATCCTTGAAGCTACACAAGGAGGCAAAGGGCAAGAGGTTTAAAGCAAATAGTTTTGAGAGGGGGAGGGAGCAAGAAGACAAGAAAATCTACTGAGCCTGAAACTGTTCTAATTACTAACCAACAGGCCCCCACCACAGGGCAGCCAGGAGGAATGTCTATGTTCTACACTTTGAGAAAATCCCTGGCAACTTCAGGTAGCGGCTGCTCCTGCTCCAGGAGGAACGCTATGATCTCATTTTGAGGATTGGCCTCAGTTTCCCTACTGTCTTTAACGGGCTTTAAGATGTCTTTATACATACGAGTATGTCTGTGTAATTCCCACTGCACATGTGTGTATAGGAACATATCTGCATGCTTGTACATACAGCAGCACTCCTTGAGGGTACTTTCGAGGTCTCAGAGGGCTACAGAGAAAGACTGTGAAATTCCCAGCTCCAGCTCTGGTTTCTAATCTACAAGTCATTTGTGAGACACAAGGCAGGGACCTAGGACGCCCCAGAAGAATTTTAGGTATGAACAATGAACTCACTAACTCCTTCCCCCTCACGCTGCTGGGAGAGGGAAGGGGGTGGAAAAAGAAAAGGAAAGCAAAAGCAAACACCGCAGGACTGCCTTTACTTTACTGAAGGGCAGAGGGACCGGCTCCTGCTAACCATAGTTATTTTCCATAAGATAAACACCCTCCGCATCGAGTTGTCCTGGCCACTTGGAAGCCCCTCTGCACACAGGCCTTCTCTCTACCTCCGTGTTTTCTCAAGCACTTGTTCAAAAACACATTTAAGTGGAATGTTTTCGTTTCTGCAGATTGCATTAATTATGGGTTCGCAAGCATGGCAGGCGCACGAGGTCTGCCCGAGCTGGGCGCTGCAGACAACCAGCCTTGGCGGAGCAGCCGGCCGCAGTTGGTTTGGCCGGCTGCGGACGCGCTCAGCCCCCATCACAGCTCGGCATTTGGCACCGAGAGCCTCAGCCCCGCCAGGGCTGCAGCTAAGAGAGACAAACAGAGCGATCCTTCTCAGTGCCCCATGCGCTCAGGATCGCGCCTGCCCGGTGCGCAGCGTCTTGCCACTGAGGAGAGGACTCGGCTGGAGCAGAGAGCGCCTCCTGGCCCTGTTTCTACCCTGAGAAGAGAGGAGAGAGCTCATTGTCCCTCCTTTATTAGAACTTAGTGAAAGTCTGTTTTTATTTCAATGTCATCTGCTTCTTCCTGCTTTCTTTAGAGGGTCTCTAAGAGGGACAGGCCCAGTAGTGGGGCCCTGGACGCGCCCCCGTAGCCCAGCAAGTGGCCACAGGATCTGCAGGGCTCCCTAGCCAAAAAAACGACCGCCTAATGCAGTCAGGCCAGATCCCTGGGGGTGAGGTGTACGGAGTCCTCAATGGGTCGCCCTGGGGACAGCCAGCAGGGCGCCTGCGTCCCATCCCTGCTTGTTCCCGCATGAGTCCCTGCCCCCATGAGAGTGAACGCAGGACACCCTAATTCTCATCTGGAGCTGGTAGGACTCGGGAGCCCGTCTTAGCCGGTAGCCATCCGCCCGGACACGCACGCGGCGGGACGGGTCTGGCTCCCACCTGCTGGAGTCACGCGGGCGGAGGCGCCAACACCCCGAAGGCCACCTGCTCCCCTTGTCTCGGTCCGGAGGGGAGCGTGGGGACCCGGCCGGGCGGCACTGCCAGGTCCCGGGCTTACCGTGAGTGCTGAGAACTTCTGCGCGGGCGCGGGCGGCAGCAGCCCCGCGAGCAGCGGCAGCCAGCAGAGCTGGGGCAGCAGCATGGTGACCCTGCGCGGGACCGCGCGGACGACCCACAGAGAGCGGCCGCGCCCTGAGTCCTGAGCCCTGGCGCGGCGGCCGGGAGCCTGTGGGCTAGCGCGACCCACACGGCGGGTGGAGGCGGTTCCTCCGCAGTCCTCGCTTCCAACCGCTCCGGGGCCGGACTTGACCAGCTCAGCTGCAGGCACTGAGCAGTCCTCCAAGTACTTTGCGGCTTCCCTCGCTCCTGTCAAATACCCTCAGAACTTCCCGGATCCTCCCCCTCCCACCCCACCCCCGCCCTCTTCCTTCCCTCTCCCCTCTCCTCCCCCAGCCCCACCTCCTCGCGCGGGCCGCAGAGCTGGGCTAGGCTCAGAAGCGCGCTCCATGGAGGGTCTGCCCTGGGAGCAGTCTGCCGAAAGGAGAGGGAGAGGGGCCACCAGGGTGGGCTGGCGCCTCAGTGTATTTTCCTGCCTGCTTTCCTGAGCTCACACTAGTTGCACATGCACTCACATATATAAGCGTGCATTCACAACCACATGTGCGCCCAGCCAAGGAGAGTTCCAGGGCACAACCAGGTAACCAATGTGCAGTCTTGCCCAGTGCAGAGTCTGCCCACTCCAGACCAGCTGGTGTGCCCTGTTCATCCACTAGGGTGAGCCTGAAGCTTTGGCCATTCCACCAAGCCCAGTGGCTCTCCTTGAATTCGGAACTCCAGGACACCTTCTGCAGACCAGAAATGGCCCTCAAATGTGCTGACTGATCAACTAACTCCCAGAATAGGGAACTGAGAACAAATATCCCAACACCATGGGCAGCATCTTTACACTGGATCATCCACTGGAGGGGGTGGACACACAGATCTGGGAGGGTCTGACTTGGGCAGCAGCCTTAATCCTAGGCCAGTGTGATTGGACTGTGATTAGACATACTGTATAGACAGATGTGCTGCTTTTAGCAGCTCTGTTGCAGCATTTCAGGTGTTTGTGCAAGGAGCACAGGGTGGTGGAGGCTGTTAACCTGTCCCTGGAGACTCGATGGAAACCAAGAGAAGTCTGCACACCCAGATTCTGGAAGACATCCACTGCAGAAAACATTGCTGAAATAGTTTAAGCCTTGGCTTGTAACTTTACAGGAAAAGGCCCTAATTCCATCTCACACAGAAAGCCAACAAAGTGAAGACTTTCAAGAACAATGAATCAATTGACTTGTCAGGGGCTCTAGGGAAATGAACAGAATAGCAAATCCGCATCTGAGCTTTCATCTGCCGTCAGGTTCACCGCTAAGAACGAGAGGGCAGAGAGCTGGCTCAGAAAGTTCGAGACTGGCTGCTTGGAGGGGCTGCCCTTCTGCAGGCGTCCGCTCGGCCATCTGCAGTGATGCTGGGGACCAGGAAAGATGGCAGAGGAATGATCCTTCCCAGGAGGGCTCCTCTAAGAAGTCTCCTTCAAATTCCAAAGCCCAAAGAATCTATTAAACACTTAAACACATTCCTGCTGGTTTGAGGACACAGAAGGAAATTATAATAAAACTCCTCAGGGATTGCTCTTGGGCCCAGAGAAACAGGTGAGCATGCAGCTGTGAGCAATTAAGTAAATAAGGACCAATGTGAGGCAATGTCAATAAAAGTTAGAGTAAAAATAAAACCAATCAATAAATGTTGCATACCACTGATTCTAAAATAATCTGAAGAAGAAAATGTACACCCAGAGCCGACATACCTCCTTTAAACATCGTTTGCTATTGAAGATTTCTTTTCGTTTCTACTTTATTGAGAGTGCTGCAAGTCATGGGCTGCTATCTGATACGTTGCACTTTTCTGCAGAACTCAGAAGCCTGAGAGCACTGCATTTATTATCTGCATCAGCTACAAAGTGGCAAACAAGAAGTAGACCTAACCATTCCCATTTTACAGATGAGGAACAAAAGCAAAAGAGACCAAATGCCTCAGCCAGATCTAAGCCACGAGATCAGAACAGAATCCAGATGTTGCAATGTAGAATTTCGACCCATCCACTCACTTCCCCTGGAGATACAGATGGCAGAAGGAAGCTTCTTGGCTCTCCACGCCTGGAGTCCGAGAATCCTGCATCCTTCATATGTTGACTCCAGAATCCTCTGACAATTCCAGAAAGATCAATGAAATGTATTTGTCCAAGATGCTGACAGATGAGGCAGGATTGGAGCCTTCAAAGACCTTGTAAAATCTGGACAAAGTAATGTGGATCGAAGGCCAAATTTCATTTTCTCAAAGACCATAGAAGTGGCATTTGGAAAGATAGTGTTTCCATTTTTGTGGAGAAAAATAATACACTCATTTAAAACCAGGAGAGAGTTTTTTCTGTCTGTCATGCTCACTACTGGCCTGAGCAGCTGACACCACACACTGCTTCACCTCGAGATTTCTGAGGGTTCCCACAGGACAGAAAGAAGTCCTCTTTTCTTGGAAATAGCCTACATTTTAAATTAAGAGGTGACATAGGGCACATCTTAAAGTGTGGCCTATGGATCCAGAATTTAAATTTCTTCCACTGATCAGTCACAATAAAGAGGAGCAAGAAAAATCAATGACCAAGAACTGGCTCTTCTCACAGGTCTCAGCTCACTTGTCCTCTTCCGTCACTAATACCGACTCACTTTCCAATTACTTTTACTATGCAAAAACTGCAAAAGGCTTGTGTTCTTAGCACAGACATGATATGATTTAATTATCATTCCTGGCTTACTTGTGTTTAGCCAGAGAGCTCATTGTCAGCCATTTTCCATATGCCCACAGTGTGCAAGGTACAGGCTTAATCGAATGTCCCTTTGTTGTTGGGCGACTTCCAAAAGCTTTCTTGGTCATAATTCTGAGTGACACTGAGACCCATTGGAGTGGGTGAGCCTCACCCCTGTGTGGAGCATACTGGCTGCCTGTCAGCTGCTCATCTAACTGATGCATGACCCAGGTTTTATTCACTCACAGGAAGAGGAGTCTTCCGAGTTCACTAGGGTTTTCTTAAGTAAATTCTCCATGATGGACCCTTTGACTGCCGGAAACGCAGTGGACAGCAGTCTGCGAAGGACAGGCCTGTAGGATGGGGTTGGTGAAGTCTGTCCCCTCTACTCCACCTGACGGTTCTCATGGGCAGACCAGTGGTCCCATATCTATCCCAGGCTTGGGCTGTTCAACTCCAGAGACCTGGGTGCCTATGAGAGTGACGGACTCGGACACACTGTGAATTTCTAAGTCGGGGAGAACCTGCTGCCTGGGGAGGCAGACGTCACGTGCCCTCACAGTGGAGCAGGGAAGGCCCCTGAGCCATCTCAGGGGTCCCTTCCCCACTGGGAATTATTTTAGAGACAGAGAATCGAGGTGGTCTTTGTGCCCGTCCACCACATCATCTCCTTCTTCAGATGCCGATGACAGGTTCCATGAGGGCCCTTTCCAGGCACTTCATGGAAGTGGTCAGGAGCAGCTGGAATGTGCAGGTGTCTTGTGCTCAGCATCTGAGCCACTCCCACAGGGCGCTGAAAGGTAGCACTTCACAGTTGGTGACAAAGCCCAGAGGCCACAGGACCCCAGATCCTCATGAGGAGGCTGCAGCCACAGACTCTCCTGGATCCTCGTCTCAGAAGCCAGGGTCTTTGCCCTGTGACCACTACGATTTGGATATCATTGAAGAACTTGTTGGCTGCAGCAAGGAAAAGCCCAGGGTCCACAGTCTACAGATAATCAGTTCTCAGACATTTTGAGATCATAAACCCCGTGAGGAGTGAGGAAAACTATGGGATATTTTGTCCAGAAAAATGTGCAAGTGGTGGACAAACACACTCCCGCCTCACTGACTGGCTGCTTTGTACAAACATCCCCCTTCAGCATCCACACTGGGAACTGTCCCTCTGAAGTGATGCTTGGTGGCTGTCCCTTCTGAAAGGTGTGATTGTGGTGTGGGGGAGAAAGCCACTCTCAGGCTCAATCTCGTGGATTAGTCAAAACATGCAGCAATGGCCACAGTGCAGGACCAGGCTTGCTAGAAGTGGTCACCGTGATCCCAGGGCCAAGCGTGCCTTCCCGTCATAGCAGCCTTTACTAGCATGTGAAGCCCACAGAACCCATCAGCCGCAGGGCTAGTGAAAGGCACTGCCACAATGACGAAGCGCCATACAAGGTGTGTTCCCGGAGAAGAGAACAAGCAAACACACACGAACTGGGAGAACTCAGAGCACCCAGCTCTTCTCAATTCAGATGGTCTCAACTACTGTGAATTTCTCTCCTTGTTCACCCATTTGGAGTCCTTCTTCCTTTCTTAACATGGCAAAAAACATTTTAAGATGGCAATGGAAATATAGCTTTCCAAGAACACTCTGGTTCAGGGTGAACCAGGCAGATGCAGTCTGTGGCCACAGAAAGAGGACTAGGAAGATACCCCAGTAAAGAGAGCCTCAGCTCCCACAGAAGCTCCCTCTACCCCCCTGTGCTCTGGCAGGAGGGAGCGCCCAGCCTCCTGGCCCAGCCTCTGGGACTCTGAGCTGAGTCTTCCACTGTATCAGACAAGCAGGAAAATCTTCAGTGACTTCAGACATAGTACCAGGCCCTGGCTACTGGGCCATGGGGACAGTGAAGTGATATTGCTTGCTGGTTGGCCTTCCACCCTGTTAGGCAGACCCCTCTGTGGGCTGTCCATCAATAGCGGCCTCTGCTCTCTCTGCATAAGCAGGAGCCCTTGCTGGTGTCGCCCAGGAAGTCAGGATCCTCCTGGTTTGGGCTGGTTCAGCCTCCATCCTGGGAATTTTCTTACTGCCTTTTGTCCCTAGAAAACAGTGTGCAAACCAGAGATGCAGCTCCACGGTTTTCAGACCCTTTTATTCTTAGGTCTACAAGCCATGAAAACCAGACTTCTTCTGATTCTTTTCTCCTGTGAGGTGACTGGCCACGAGAGCCCTGGGGCTGATGGTCTGCAGAGGTGCACACAGGGGTGCGCTCTGTGGCTCTCAGACTTGCAAAAGGGATCTGGATGTGCAGCAGATGGTGGAAAACTTGGCACGCAATGTGGATAAAAAGTGTGCCGCGGAGTGTAACTGGCAGGCCTGTGCCCCAGAGGCCCTGCAGACACAGGGCATGTTGGGCCTGGTACAGCTGCAGGCGCTGGCAGAGACACGAGTGAGAACTGCACAGCACCTGTCCAGTGCCTCTGGCTCGAGCCCCTGGGGGAGTCTGCTGTTTGTCCAGCACCTGGACCTTCCTCTGGAGGCTGACT